CACCTTTCAAAATGTCCTAGTGGCTCAAAAGATAACTCATTCAACCTTGGCATGCCAAACTGAGCTTGCAGGTTCTTCAACCCTTGTTGATCCAGTCCTTTCCACCCTTCATTGCCTTTCTTCACTTGGCAGATTGCCAAGACTAGGAAATGAAATGCCATGACCTTTCTCGTTTTTCCTCACTTGGCTAGATTCAGAAACTCCCAGTCAGGCCCAAAACTGAGAATGTCAGTAAGACTTCTAGTCTCCAATCCTTACATAATCCAGGGAGGTGAGTGATACAGTGTTGGTAGCAGTATACTGTTTTTAATAAATACTACTTGTATGTATCTAAGGAATCTTTATGGACTCTCTACATGCTGAGCTGCTTAATACCAACTGCTTTCAATTTGGGGATATAACTGTCATTTTGAGGCAACAGAAGTTCCATTTGATGTCTTTTTAACATTAGTAAAAGTACAAACCAGAAAGAAATAACTCAAATATCAAAAGAGGACTAGTTGAATAAATTCTAGTCACATAAATGAATCTCTTCTGGTGTTATAAATCATGACCCAGTTAACACTTATTAACATGGAAAAATATTATTTATTGCTGAGGTGTTACAGAATAATTATTTCTGTGCATTAATACTTACTATTTTGTAACAAAACATAGCCATTGCAGGTCAAGTGTCAGCAAACCTAGGCTGGCCTGCTGCATGTTTTATAAATGAAGATGTACTGGATCACAATCAGGTGGTTTCTGCTTTCCTGCTACAAGAGCAGACCTGAATAGTTACAACAGAGAGAGTGTGGCCAGTAAAATCTAGTGTATGTACCTTCTGGTAACTTACAGGAGAAGTTTGCTAACTTTTATTCTAGATGAAGGAATCGTGTGTGATTTTTAATCTTTGACTCTATTTCCTACAGTGAGCATAAATTTATTGTGTAAGACATGTATCTGTTATTAAACTATTAATCTGTTTTATTAAAAGCATAGTAATCACATTAAACTAAAAAGTAAACTTTGTAAGTGAAATCATGAAAAGCTTATCACTTCCAATGTTCTGCTTAAAGTACAAGATCTATGATGAAGTTAATTTTGATTGGTTTTAAAATTAAGACCTTATATGGACATAATTCCTCTATTTTCCAACAGCAGTCATTTCTGAAAACTGCTTTCAGAGCTTTTGGTATGTTCTTTTTATTTTCTTTGTCAACATCTCGGTCTTCTGAGGCTGTGGTTGAGTAATACAGTGCTAAATTTCATGAATAGGTGAGTTCATTCAAGTAGTTTCTTAAGTGAAAAAAGAGTGACAAATACATATTGAAAGCAGATTTTCTTCACAGGAGTTGTCAGCTGGATATGAAAACAGTTCTAAAAATTGAGGTTTTCAAAATGTTCAGAACTTTTGAAAATAAGCAAATCAATCTAAAACCTCCTAAGGAGGCTACTTTGAAAAACCAAAGTCACAATTATAATTATTTGTTACCATGGACGATTCTAATGCAGCTAAGCAAATCTTGTTTAAAAATCCTGTAGGACAAAACTTTAAAAAAAAGATGTTTGAGTAATCAGGAAATTATTAAAACAGTCAAAAGACCTACTAATTAACATGAGGTGAGGGAATATTTGAAAATGGAATTTATATTAACTAGAAGCTCCAGATGACATGCATCTTTATTAAAAAGAAATGGCAGTGAAAGTACATTCATTAAACTTTCAAATACACAAAATAAAAGGACTTAAAACACCATAAGAAGAGAGAAATAATGTAAGGGTTTTAATTTTAAAAAACCAAGCAATTGAAATGAAAAATAATAAAATTTGTCTCTGAAACATCAATTTAAATATCCATAAAGAGTGTCACAATTTAAATATATTAACACATCAGTGACTTTGCTGATTTTTAGGATCTATTTTGTTGACTAGCTAGTCCAATGGCATGAATATGATAGAATAAGTCACACATTTTTAAAGTCAGAATTTCTCCCTAATCTCCAAGATTAAGATTCCAACCTATCTAGTAGGTAAAAATTAAAATACACTGTATCTAAATTTTAGATAATGGAAATATTAAACACATCATAGCTCTTGATATTTTTAAAAGGAAATGGCTATCCTTAGTGTGTACTTTAACTACTTTATTTTTTGAACCAATCTACCTTTATATTAATACCTCTTATCACTATTGTCATCATTCAATTCCCAATGATCAGGTATTCAACAAATAAACCTGACTTTCTGACACCTAAGCATTCCCTCATGTTTTCACTTTTAACCATCTACTTGCCACCTTTTTTCACATCTATTCTGTGCCTAGCTAAATTGACAGCCAGAACACTACTTTCTTAATGAAAAATGTCTCCATCCTAACCAGAGGTACTCATTTCCTGCTCTAAGCTCTCATGCAACCAGTTTCTATCACAAATTAAAGGTCTCTGAATGACTGTCTCATTCTCTATGAAATCTATTACTTGCTTAACAGTAAATACCCATTGTATTTACTGTTTCCTTCAGTGGGTAGAATAGCACACTGTCAGCAATTAGCTTATTGTTAATATGCACTTGTTAATGAATAAATGGTCTCTTGAAAAGGACTTAAGAAAAGGAAATTTGTTGAAAAAAAATTTGTGTAAATTTTTTTTTTAAATCAAGATACAGAGAAAAAACAAACTTGTGTCTATTTTACTGTAATCTGAATTCCATGAGTGCTGAGTAAAATAGATATTTTTTTTTTTAAAGATTTATTTATTTGTGCATACAGAACTGGGGTACAGGCCAGAGACGTGGAGGGTGAGAGGATTCACCAGAGACAGAGTGGGGAGCAGAACAGGCAGATCGACAAAGTACACTGCTGAGGGGAGCAGCGGGCGGGTCAGGAGAGGTCTGCCACGCCATGTGGTCACCTCCGGGGCAGGCGGGAATCGAACTCGTGTGGAAGCGACTTTAGATTCTCAGTGCTGTGCTTTAACCCGCTGCGCCACCAGGGAGGGCCCAAAATAGATATTTTTATATAGGGTGAATAAGCTTCAAAACTAAACAGTAGTTGTATAACAAGGCCACATCTCTGGGTGGCTATTGTGTGCAAAGTCCTGCCTTTGTTCAGGCAGATTAATCCGCTCACTGGCGATTTGTGAAAGAAAACATCATGCCCAGTATGCCACGTCCTAGTCTGCAGGGTATTAGTTCACTTTGATGAACTCGGTTTCCTCATCTTTAAGATAGAATTAACAATGGACTTACCTTTTTCACAAGTGTGTTGTGAGAGATAATAAAAATGTGATAACACTGAGTAAATTATAAAGTTCTATGTAATTATATAGTTATAAGAGAACATAAAGGGGATCAATATAAGGGATATTTAAATAGTAACATAAGTAGAAAGAAAATGTGTAATTGAGAGGTCAGATTCTTTAGGTCAAATTTATACAAAATATGAAGGAAAGAAGGGTTTTGGTGTGCAGTAACTTGTTTCCATCACCAGATATTGAGTCATTCCGTAGAGGCAAGTATTAAGATTTCTCAATTATTTCACTGCTTTGTGAGTCCTATAAAATTGCAAATTCAATCTGCGGATTCATAGATGAGAGAGTGTGGGCAGAAAATAATCCTCAACTTAATTTACATACTATTACCATTTAGGAAAAATTATTTTTTCCTTCCTTTTCTCATACTATTGAGGTCACTATTGTAAATTTTAGATCTTTTCCATTATCTTCATGGCATTCTGAACTTGCTGAACATGAATATAGATTGTGGAACCCAAAGATAAGAAGGGTACTAGGCTATTCATTTGTTACAAAGACCACCAAATTTAGAACTTATCTATAGAATCCTTGCTATGTCTGATCTTGACCTAGATGGATCCAATGCAGGAAAAGATGAAAATCAACTGCTAATAAAGTAGAAATAGGCTCTCCAGTCACTTTTAATGTATGTGAATGCTCTTGTTTGTCCCCTACACAGAACAGACACAACCATTTTTCTGTTCCCCTGCTCGTCTCTCCTCACTTGGTCACCTGGGCCCATGGTACATATAGTTCCAATTAACAGAGCACTTAACAGATGCATTTTCACTTTTAATTTGCTTTCTCTCTTAATGAGAGTCTAACAGCATATCTAAACAATTTCTAAGAACACCAGCTCTACAAGGATTAAAATGTGATGGAGTTTTGTTGCCTAAGAAGTTCCAGTTTTTTGTTTTTTTGTTTTTTTTTTTCCCAAAGGAGCCACTCAACAGAATCTGTGTTGAATAGTAAATGTGGTCTGATGAGTTAGATTTTGTTAAAGTCACCCTTCCTTTTCTTGTAGCCCTGAGGATTATAAACATTTATTAGCTACATGATCAACATGCCAAGATGTCTTTAAATGACTTGGCTAATCTTCATTCTGTGCTTTTGGTTAATGTCATTATTTAAAACTTATGATTTAGACTGGCAGTAATTAATAATCATAGTGAGTGGAATCTTTGCATTATGTAGTTTGGATAAATTGAGTTGCCATTAAGAACAGCAAAAACTTAACTAATTCAAATTAACCATGTTGCCTCCCTCCCCTCTAACTTATATCCCAAAGTTAAAATTTTAAGTTGATATAAAATCAAATTGTAATTTTATATTTATATCATAGTTAAATTGAGTATTCTACTGAAACTATCATTGCTTAATGACTTACTTCCTGTTACCTTCATGTCATGTAATCACACTGCAGGGTAATTGGTTTCTGTGTATATTAAAGACTTCCTAGAACAGAATTGACAATTCAAGCATGCCAGGCAGAAAGTTACCTGTCGTAAGTGATAGAACAAAGTTAATTTTCATAAGTCATTGTGATCTTGAGGTGACCGGATATGAAGTTGGAGTTCTGTTTCAGTCAAACTCAATGAACTGAAAATCTGTGCTGGCATAAAAACTACATATAGAAATGCAAAATCCTGCTTTTAACTCCTTAGGGCAATTTACCTATGTTTATGTGACATATGAAATTTAATATCATCTTTCTTATGTCTCTCTTAGAAGATAAAGGGAAGTTAAAAGTGAACAGTTCCAGTCAGCCATCCAGCTCCGAAGGTGGCTCCTTTCTCCTCAAATCTGGCGCAACACTGCTGGCACCTGCAGCCGCCGCTTCTCCCTCCAAGAGCACAAATGGAGCTCCTGGTACAGTTTCTGAATCAGAAGAAGAAAAAGCCAAAAAGTTACTTTATTGTTCACTATGCAAAGTGGCTGTGAACTCCCTGTCACAGCTAGAAGCACACAACACAGGTTAGCAGCTACCATTTGAATTTCAATAATGTTTATAACAAAGCTCAGCTTTTCCAATCAGAATACCATATCTGTTGTTCAAACATTAGGTTTGTTTGATGTCTTTTGTACTTTTATGATTCAAAGGACTGTTTTTAAGAAAAATATAATAATGACTTTGGAAACAGCAAGGCAAAAGCAGGTTGGAGATAAAACTTGATCGTTCTTATCCCTCAGAAACCTCTAATGGTTACCAAAATTCATGTTGGTGAAGTTACAAAGAGGAAAACAAATATCTGTGTACACTGTTCACTGCAGCACATATGAAAAAGAGAAAAAACTTGGAAACAAGTTTTAAAAGCTACTCATTAGGAAAATATTGAATAAATTACAAAAATTGAATGTGGTAAAATATATTATTCAGTCATTAAAGTGTAGTTACAAGAAAATATGTATATTATTTGATATATGAAATGGTTAGGATATTAGTATGATTATAAAGATATTTATGTATGATTTTAGTATACTAAAGAAAAAACCTGAAAAGAAATACACTAAAATGATAACAAGTGGCTCTCTGATTGGAAAAAGTAAGGGTAATCTTTATTTTCTTATATTCCACACTCTATTATCCATATTTTCTTTATTTATACTATTATGCTTTCCTGTTTTTTACAATGAAAATATAACTGTATAGCTGGTGTCAAAATGGCCATAAAATAGCACTGGGAAATTCAAACTGAAAACATTAAAAATAAATTTCTCAAGGATGTGAAAACAGAGTGTCCTGTCCTTCTTAAAGAACTATTTAACATGTCTCTTTCTGTTTAGGATCTAAACACAAGACTATGGTTGAAGCTCGTAATGGAGCTGGTCCAATTAAATCCTATCCTAGACCTGGCTCAAGATTAAAGATGCAGAATGGCAGTAAGGGTTCAGGACTACAGAATAAAACATTTCATTGTGAAATCTGTGATGTTCATGTTAACTCAGAAATTCAACTCAAACAGGTAATGTATCCTGAATTAGTAGCCACTGGTGCTTAGCATTACCGTTTGACTGTGTATCTCTGAATCTATGCAATGGCTTTTCCTGTGTTCAGTTAAATTTACTCTATAGATAACATACAGAAGTTATGTAGAAGAGAGTCAGTACCAAACATTTATATACCAATATTACACTGTCAGATCACAGGTCAAGTGTGAGACAGGTGAGCACTGGCATCACCTGGAGCTTACAGTTGTTAGAAGGATCTTCTGGAAAGATAGTGAGATGGTCAGCCTTTCTTCCAAGGCCATAATCTGGTTAGGGAAACAGACTCATCAGTCACTGTGGTAATACCAGCAAAGTGGGATAAAGGCGGTAGAAAAAGAATAGGCAGAGAAGCATTACAAGGGGATGGCTAAAGAGTCCTAAGGTAGAGAATACGGTGATACTACCCAAACCATCTTGAAACTATGGGTGTAGAATTGAGAATGGAAAAACCAGCTACCTCTATCTAGGAAATATATTTTACTTTTTTTTTTTAAGGAAATATATTTACTGAATAAATTTCACATTTAGTTTCAGCTAATGCATCACCTTTTTTTCAGCACATTTCTAGCCGAAGGCATAAGGATCGAGTTGCAGGGAAACCATTAAAGCCGAAATACAGTCCTTACAACAAACTCCAGCGGAGCCCAAGCATTTTAGCAGTAAGTTCACTTCTCTTGTTCACTATTTGTGGGGTAACTTGCTAACTTGGCAAGGACTATCGGGAGGGAGGGCTTGGAGACTAATTGGTCATTGAGAGGTTTTGATTTTAAATAATCATAGTAGACAAAAGTTTCAGACTGAATCGCTTTGTCCCTCCTGTGGAACACCTTGAAGAGAGCTTCCTTGGGAAGAGAAACTGAACCTCTTGAAGTGCAATACCTTCCACTTTAGCAAGTCTTTCTCTCTTTCTCCCCTCCCAACCCCCAGAGGTAAAATGGGTGTTTGTGTCCTCTGTGTCTGGGAAGGGGAGGGGGTTCCAGCGACAGGTGCCATATACCCACCCGAGATGGATCATTTCATCATCTTCTTGGGACTCTGCCCAGTATGGCAGTCCCTGTGAGGGTAAAGCTCAGATTGGCCAGCTGGATACAATGCTGAGATTACCTTTCAGTTTCTTCAAAGCCACTGTCTGATGCTGCAAGCAGGTGTTACCTGCATTAAGTAAATCCAGCTTGCAAGGTGCCTCCTGATTTCAAAAGAGAAATGAATGATTCTTCCCTGGGATTTCTTTCAACAGAGAAAGTTTCTAGCCCACTTGAAATCATTCCCAGCAAGAGAAGTTTGAATTAGCTGCAGTTTTTAAAGAAATGCTCTTTGAGTGGTCAGAGAGAAAGAGGTATAAACCGACTCTGTTTTCATGACTCTTCGTGGGGGAGCCTTCCAATTTTCCAAACCTCAGTTACCTAGCTCAGTGAACATTTTCAAGAGAAGTGAAGTAAACGGTTGTGCATATTGTAAAAACAAACAACAACAACAACAAAAACTCCCTCAAAGCTGCATTGTGGCCTAGACAAATCAGAATCTGGAATTGAGCTCCATTATCTAAGCAGGAAACCTTCTGGGTATGTTTGTTCTTTCTGAACTATAGCATGAAATAACCCATTGTCTGTTCAGAGAAGTGTGCCTATATCCCAGTGCCCAGGGGCAGAGAATACAAGAAAAGAGTTGAAAAAGAAGCAAATACAAGTAAAGATTTGTCAGGTTTCTTGAAAACCAGTTTTGTGAAAATAACCATTTTTGATTTCCTAGAGTAAAGATTTTTGCATATAGCTTAAATTTGATATTTTACTTATGAAAATGGACCTGTGGTGCTGTTGTTCAAAAAAAAAATCTCCATCCTGTCCTGGTTTTTCTCCCTCCATTAGGCAAAACTTGCATTCCAGAAGGATATGATCAAGCCTTTGACCCCGGCTTTCCTGTCTTCACCCCTGGCAGCGGCAGCAGCTGTGACCTCCGCGCTATCACTGCCACCTCGCCCGTCAGCCTCGCTCTTCCAGGCTCCCGCCATACCTCCAGCGCTCCTGAGACCTGGCCATGGGCCCATCCGCGCCACACCTGCCTCCATTCTTTTTGCTCCATATTGAGGGCTGCAAGCCCCCCACGACGTTGAGGCCAGTAGCAAAACAGAGAAGGCAAGCCAAAAGGATACAGCAGTTGAAGCAATTCCCACCCAGTCATAAAATACAGCAGACTAGAGCCCTGACTCCAAAGAGTAACAAATCATTAGTTCAAGAGTGCTTTCAGAGTCCGCTCCCGTAATGCAGGAATCTGAGCAGCAAGGCTTTATCTCCCTCGCCCGCCCCCCTCGCCCCCCCCCCATCAATTTGTGCATCTGAGATACTTGGTTTCTTGCAAATGTATTGGTCAGAAAATATATAGTTATCATTCTCTGACTATTTTTCCATGGGTGTGATTCGGCTTAGAAACAATATGGAATGTTTTTCCTGACAGACTTGAACACTAGGGTCTTCCTCACACGTCTGTAAATAACTTTGGAATCCAAGTGGGCACATTCAAGTGTGGAACAACAATAGATGAACGCAAGTGCTTACTTGTGGCTACCATCTTCCCGACGATCGCAACGTCTTCTTTTTGGTGTATTTTGTTGACAGGGATTGTGTACTGTTTTAGACCTAAGTACTGTTGTATCCTGTGTAGTTCTAGATCTGTATCTCTTGTCTGAATTAAACATTTTTTAGTTGCTGTGTAAATGTTAGGAAGCAAAGTAGCTTTGAATTTTCTCTTTAAGAGAACAAAAGATAAAGTAATGTGTTTTCTTTATTTTACATTTTATTTAGTGATATTTAAACAAAATAGAAAGCCATATAACATAGCTATAATTACTGTTTGCTATTTTTGTTTAACTTATTTGGTAGCTTCCTCACTGGTTTGAGTTGCTAAGCACATGTATACACACAGAAAAAGAGCTTCCTAAATTGCACATTATTGCACCTCTAGTGCATTCTGCAAGAAGACAATGAATCTATGTATTTCTACGTAATTATCTTCTTCATTTTTAACCTGTTTTCATTTGTAATGATGCTACATAATTTTGTGGCTCCCTGATGCAATAATGTACAGAAGATAAAAAATTTATAATTGAACACTCTGTCTTTCTGTTCACTGAATATGTTGCAGGTCATGCTCCCATGCCCCCCTTTCTCAACTGATATCATCAAGACTGGAATGTTTGTGATATCAGGGGCAAGAGGTATCATAAAATGACAAAATAGAGTGAGTTCTCTTAGAGCATCTATATCTGCAATCTGTAAATGGTAAAATGTCTGTGTATTTTTTTAAATGTACCTTTTCAATAAAAGTGCAAAAAAAATAAAAATCTTTATTTTGAAAGTTATTTTCTCCTGAGACATCTCCAAATTGAAATCATCTGATGGAAGATTTTTAGTAGGTGCAAAGATTGCCTCTTACATATTTAGCATTTTCAGCTCTTATTTGCAGCATATTTATTTGTCATGTTTATTCATTACTGTTCACAGCATCTGCATGAGGCGAGACTTGACTGCTGTCTTCCCTCTGAATCTCTAAGAAGTTGGACCAAAGTTGTGAGTGAGGCTCAAAATCACAGTAGCAGCCTGTTAAAAATTTGTGACTCTGTTTTTTTTTTCCCCCCAAATTTGCTGTAAGTTTTCTGAATCCCTAGCTCACCTTTAATTCATTTCCACAGGTTTTTGTGACCTCTTTTCAGGGGGCTCTATTCTCCTTCCCTTCACATTCTCTAGTCTACTCTTCTTGTTTGTTCTGGTGATCTGTTGCTCTAAAAGTTAGTGACTCTATGGAAAGCAGTTGGGTGATTTCTCAAACTGCTAAAAATGGATCTTCCATATGATCCAGCAATCCCACTCCTAAGTATCTACCCAAAGGACACAAAAACATTAATGCAAAAGGACACCTGCATCCCTATGTCTACTGCTGCGCTATTTACACTAAGGAAGATGTGGAATCATCCCAATGCCCAAAAACAGAGGATCAAGAAGATGTGGTACATACAAACCATAGAATATTACTCAGCAATCAAAAAGCAATAAATTCATGCCATTTGTGGCAACATGGATGGAGCTGGAGGGGATCATGCTTAGTGAAATAAGCCAGAAAGGAAAAGAAAAATGCTAGATGGCTTCACTTACAGCATAAGTTTACTTACTTCACTTACAGCATAAGTTTATAAGTGTAAGAGATCAGAAAGAAAATCAATTGCAATAAAGTAAAAGTGAAAATCAACAAATAGCTATAAACCAAAGACATTCTATGGGGGTAAAGAGGGGGGTATAATTAAAACAGGGGTGGGGGCCCTCCCTGGTGGCGCAGCGGGTTAAAGCACTGCACTGAGAAACTAAAGCCACTTCCGCATGAGTTCGATCCCCGCCTGCCCCAGAGGTGACCACATGGCGTGGCAGACCTCTCCTGACCCGCCCGCTGCTCCCCTCAGCAGTGTACTTCGTTGATCTGCCTGTTCTGCTCCCCACTCTGTCTCTGGTGAAGCCTCTCACCCTCCGCATCTCTGGCCTGTACCCCAGATCTGTATGAATAAAAAAAAAAAAAAAACGGGTGGGAAGAGCACACGGGACTATGGTGATGGCACATGGGTGAATTGGTGGTGGGAAGTCCACAGGGGTTACAACCATGCACAAAATGAAGAATGATGTAAAAAATATATATTTAAAAAGCATTTTCAAAAATACTAAAACACTATTTTTTAAAAGTTAGTGACTATTAATATTAAAAAAAGTAAAACATTTCATTATATCACAACTTCAGAGGTCAGGAATTCCACCAGGAATTAACTGAATTGTTCTGTTTCCTCACATATCAGTAGAGGTGGTATTCAGCTGGGGGTGGCTGGTCTGCAGGTCTCAGATGGCTTCACTTACCTGTCTGCCTGGATGGAGATTGTTCAAAGAATGTGTTTTGCTAGAACAGTTACTGAGAGGCTACATGTGGCCTCCCCAGCATTTTGATCTTAGGTAACCTAGTAATTCAAGGTCCCTGAGAAAGAAAAATTAAGAGGCCTGGGAAGAAGTCAAACAGCTTCTTATAAAATAGTCTCCAAACTCTCAGCCTGTCACTTATACTACTTTCTGCTGATCAAATAAGTCACTAAGGTCAATCAGGATTCAAAAGAAAAATTAACTCACTTTGTTTCTGAAACTGTATCAGTTTCAGGTGTAGAGTATCATGATTTAATATTTATATATATTGATCACCACAATATATCTTGTTTGCATATGTTACCATACAAAATTACAAAACATTTTTTTCTTGTGATGAGAACTTGTATGATCTCTCTTAGCAACTTTCAGATATACAATACGGCATTATCAATTGCTATATATCCCAATAATTTATTTATCTTGCAAATGGAACTTTGTCCTTTAAACCTCCTTCACCTGTTTCACCACCCCCAACCTCTTACCTCTAGCAACCACCAATCTATTCTCAGGTTGTGGGGCTTGGTTTTGTTCAGATTCCATATAAAGTAATAATGAGGTATTTGTCTTTGGCTGACTTATTTCACTTAGCCTAATGCCCTCAATACTCATTTATGGTATTGAAAATAGAAAGTTTCCATTATTTTTAAAGGCTGTATATAACTTACCTTTCAATGGGAAGGAAAGGTTTAGCTTTAATTACATTATGTTACCAAATTTTAAGGTGAGTGATAACAATGCTACTACAGATCTCCTCTGCCCAACCTTAAGCTCAATCATGTCAATTTTTAAAAATGAAAAAACTGGTATGGAGTAAAAATTCAGCCCCCTTTTCTAAAAAATTATTCTGGGGGTACTGTAATTTTATTGACATTGGGTTAAAACATTACATATGATTTAAAGTATAGGGTCGTCCCCTTCAGGTGTTCCTGCCATACCACACCCAGCACCAAGACACAGTAGTCCTCCACCATTGTCCATAGTGCTCCCTCCCCTGTGCTCTACATGCCCTCCCCTCCCCCACATAGTTACTCTACAGTCATATTTCTAGGATTTTTTTTTTAACTGGCTTGACTATCTGACCATTTGTTTTGTTTCTATTTCCGAGCATAATCACCTCCAGTTCTAGCCACATTGTGAAAAATAAGAGTTCATCTTTCTTTTTTGTAGGATGAGTAGTATTCCATTGTGTATATATACCACATCTTTGTAATCCCCTTAACTATCTTTGGACACAGTTTTTTCCAAAGCTTAGCTATTGTAAATAATGCTGCAGTGAACCGAAGAGTTCTGTGTGTTTCAACTTAGTATGTTTGCAGTCTTCAAGTAGATAGAATTTCTGGATCATGTGGTGAATTTACTTTAAATATTTTGAGAAATGTCCAACATCATAGATGAGAGCTCAGCTGTGATAATATGGAAATAGACCTATCAGTTTATCCAGTATTGCTGAATTTAATATTCTAGATTTATAACTATATTAAATTCTTAAGAATTTAATCACTTGAAATTTCAATTTGATATTCAGAATTTATTTCAAGACAACTCATTTAAAATCTAATACTAGTATACTAAACCTTGGTTTGGGTTTTAAACATGGTTTATATACATGCTGCTCTCAAGAAATTGTGTTTTCATTTAACATTTTGGGGAAAACATGTTCTTATGGACTTCAGTGACAACTACAATTTATTTCTCTTGTACTATCCTGTATCTCACTAAAGATTACTGTAATACTCAAAAAGAAATTCAAATATTGATATTTAAATAGATTTAATGACTCAATTTATAGAATTTAATATTTCTAAACATCACCTCAGGGAGATAGTAAATTGTCATTCATCAGAATGCATGTTTCCAAAAGAAAACATAAGTCACTTCAAACAATGATTTATAAATCGCTATTAAACAGATCTTATCCATCCTGATTCTAAGGTGTCAGAGTAGGTCAGTCCTAAAGGGAGATATACATCTGACTAATATCCCTTCCTCTGTCATTGTTACTTGGAAAAGGCAACTAATCTGCTTCTCTACTTACTAGGAAAGTTTAAAAATGTGCTGTTTACTCTGACATAATCCATAATCCAACTCTGATCTCTGTAGGGTCTGGAAATTGGTATCAGGTGGGATACCAATTAAGTTTGAATCTCCAATAAACAATTTTTAGCATAATATTTTAATAGTTTTAGTATGATTGACACATATTATGTCTCATAAATAAGTATACTAGTTAGGATATACTTATATTAAAAGATTATTTGTATTCTTCTAAAATTCAAACTTAAGCAGACATTTGTATTTTTATTTGCTAAATCTGGCAACCATGTCTCAGGAGCATTCCTCTTTAACTGAAGCTTCTTCAGGAGAAAGGCAAACTCATGGGTATTCAAAACTAAATAATGAGGTGTTTTTTGTTTTTTGTTTTTTTGTTTTTTTAAGCCACATTGTAAAATGTACTTGCAAATAGAGGAAGGAACTTGAAGTAAATAAAAGTTAATGATATGTTGAAATTGGCTGGGACCAGAATAGGAGAAATGTAGCTACAGATGCTTCTTACTTAAGATACACTGACACCTGTTTAACAAAATTAAACTATTGTAAGGGCAAAAAACAAAATTTTCATGTGTGTCATGAACCAAATACAACACTCTGGTGTGTTCCTCTCTGAGAAATTCTGGTATTTCCAGAAATGGATGTGGCCATGTGGAATTTTTCTCTTACAAAGTGCTTTCTGGAAAACTACACTACAGTTAATGAGTTGAGAAGATAACCACGGGATTCCCATTGGGGAAAAAAATAAAGAGCTAACAGAGCATTAGGTGGAAACTGCTATGCCAGGACTCCCAAATGGTATGCAAAGAGACTCACTGAGGAGATTGAGTTTGGAGATGTTTTGAGAAGTGGATGCCCACTTAGCCAGCCTAAGGAGCCATCAAAGAGAGAGATCACTGTGGGAGGAGTTAGCCAGAAACTCTTTCAGAGAGAAAATCAGCATCAAAACAACCTAGGAAAGTGCAAACATCTGCAGGTACAGGTGAATTTCACTTCACCTTTGTAGGTCTTCTGTAATGATTCTGTCTCTTCCTCACGTGTCTTTCATCAGATTCTTGGTTATTAACATAATGGCCTTCCTTTAATATCAGAGAACTTGTGATCCCTTTTGTACTTGGGTAGGTGGAGAAGAAGTTGTATAGTGCAAATGCAAATTCCACAAGGAATGTTCATCTTTTCCTCCTTCCTTCCTCTAAGTAACTAGCTCCATGGGGGAATTCATCAGGGACGTGACACAGGTTCTCGGCAGCTATGGAGTATAGCTGTAGGGAATTACCCTGACTTCCTTGGCTAAAATGTCTGAAGCCAGGGTGACTATATAAT